GATAGGGATTTGGATGTTACTTATCATGCCTTCCCGTCTTCTTATTCCCCTTCTTGCGCTTTTTCACCCTTATCGTCCCGTTCCAGCTTCACTTTTATCCCCCTGTTTTCAACCCTCCAATTCTCGGCCCTCCCCCATCTTGCTTCAATAGTAGCTTGTCTTTTAGTTGCAACTCACATGTGAACGCGGAGCGTCATTCTTGCCCTGTCAACAGGTCAATGTCCAAGCAAGCGGCCCATTCCAGTTCATCGGCTTCCATTTGGAGCCCTCGATTCTCCTTCAGATTGGCATGCCTCAATGTTCGCACACTGCTTCAGATCGGTCAACAGGCAGCACTTGCCCGAACATTAGATACCCTCTCGATCGATATCTGCTGCTTATCGGAGACCCGCCTGCAAGACTCGAGCTCTGTACTCACTCTGCGATCCCCTTTCATAGGATTGCGTAGACAAGATACTCTCATGCTGCCCATGCCTAGACGGGAGAACGATTAGGGTTCTCAATCAAAGCCTTTACTTCAAAAATCTGACCGCAAGGCAGCGGGTTTGGCGTTGGGCATCACGGAGTCTAGTTTAAGGAATTAGGAACCACCCTCATTCCAACCTCAACCTGGATGACCAGGAGGCTGAGTTTGCCTAGCCTCTAACCATTGACAAACCTGGTATGAGTGGCTCTTAAGTTGCAAAAAAGCCCCACTCAGCATAGCTAAATGCATCTCTGAAGCACGTAAACCATCCCACCACAGCAAGGTCCAGCCTCATTGCGCTGAATGGTTGTACAGCGGCGAACCAGCAGTTAGCACTTGCAGTTCAGCCTTAAATTGTTAACCGGGAGTAGCTGGGGTTTCTAGGGCGTACAGGTTGAAATCTGCTACCAGGATAACGTGGTCGTAAGATCGCGCCAGTAGGTTTATCACACCTGGGACTGGAGCGTGGCCCATTTCTATGGTGGACATTCGTGGGCGGTTTGTAATGGCCGTCAAGCATATTTCGCCCTACGCTATGTGTAGGCAGCACCGTAAGGCGTCCACGATCTCAATACCAGGATTTTTACGCAGTCGATCAGTAGGTCGGAACGGTAGTACAGAATTACTCTGCTTCCCTTAGGGGGTCGGTCTTTGCGCAAGAGTGACATACTGGGTAGTGCGCTCTCGGCGTCAGTAATCACATCGTTCAGCCATATCTCCGTTGCCATGATGAAGTCGAAACCCCTTGAGACTGTCGCACTAGTGAAGACGAAATTAATGACCTAGCATAAGCACTCAGGGTATTCGTATGGAGAGGTCCAACTCATGGTGCACTGACGGTTTTTAGAACTGTGCTGAACTGTAAGCAACGACATAGACAATAGCTTGAAAGCGCACTAGCTAGGTGTTGGGGCACTATTTTCCTCCTAGTTAATGTTTGCTCACAAGATGTTGCCGCTAGTGAATTTGATATGCAAGCCTTTTATTTGCGCATCAAAAATTAGGACCGCTTTCAGCTTCCTAGGAAAGTAGATAAAAATTACGTTAAACAACCACGCCGTTTAGTTTAATAAGCTCCACTTTCTTAGACAGGCGCCAAACTCCGAAATAACAACCACATCGATTGCTAAACCCCTAAATAGTATAGGTCATTAAATTGATCCTGGATAAGCGTCTAGGATTATCTACCGCAATATAGACGCCAAATACTCAAGTTACTGAAACTGTGGTCATCAGCCACAAACATCCTGACTTTTTGTTCAAAAGCATTTGACTGTCACACTCAGGCTTTCGTGGGCACCATGACACTTTTCCACCGCTTGTGATTCTGCTGTAACCCATGACGTTACGTGCTTCCTCTCTCTGCCAGCATTTCCTCTGCGATCGTTTAGTATGTGGCTTGCTTGCATTTGATCGGACAGCACGAATAGCGTCCACCTTACAATACCCGTCATCTCAGTGTATCGTTTGAAATGTCTCAAGTACTGGGGTTTTACGTTTCATCTGGGAAGTCAGGCGTTATCTTTCTTCCATTACGTCAGTTCTGTTGTTAGAGGCAAATTAAGGTTCTACTTTCGGATCAAATAAATCTGGAGCTAAAAATGGGACCTCTCACACACAATTAATGGCCAAACAATAACTGATGTCTCTCGTACGTAAAGGAAAGTTGCTGTAACCAATCTATTTAAAGTGTTATTAAAGACAGTGTTACAACAGACCGTATCATTGGCATAAAGATCTTATTGCATCCATCGAGTGGAAGACTTCGAATGAGTTGAAGATCATTTTTTGTATATTTTATCTACCAGCTTAGTGAAAGTGGCAAAAACACCTTTAAAATGTTTCGAAATACTGGTAGCTCGGGTTGATGAATCAATTGTTCATTTGTTCTCCGAGCTTGGCAATTTTGTCATAAACGTTCCACCACCATGCGACGTGGCATCCTCAGTGCAGTGAGATGCGACGTGCAATCTTACTGAATGAATCCTCCATTCCTGATCGACCTGCAGGTTACTTTTGAAAGTGGCAGTGTCGATTTACGCCTCGTGATCTCTACCCACTTTCACCAAGGCTAAAGTCGGCGCCCGAGTTGTTCTGCCTTAAACCGTGTGACAAAATGTTCTTTATTTCTTTCTGTCGTAGAGGTTCGTATATTGAATTGATGTCCACACGCATGTTGATTGAGTGTTTCGTTGAGAGCCAAGTTTCCAGGAATTCTCTTTTTGTTCTTATTTCACCCCGTGCCAGGACTTGTGCTTTGCTCCAATCGAAGCTATGTCCTTCTTCATCTACATGCAATGAAACTAGCGACGCGGTTTAAGGCAGAACAACTCGGGCGCCGACTTTAGCCTTGGGGAAAGTGGGTAGAGATCACGGGACGTAAATCGACACTGCCACTTTCAAAAGTAACCTGCAGGTCGATCACGGATGGAGGATTCATTCAGTAAAATTGCACTTCACATATCACTGCACTGACGATGCCACTTCGCATGGTGGTGAAGCGTTTACGATAAAACCGCCAAGCTCGGAGAACAAATGAAGAATTGATTACAAAACATCTTGCTAATCTTAGAGCTGATTTTTTGTCTGCACAGTTTGTTTTGTCGGAAAGTGTACGATCGAATAATAAAAGTACTGCTTATTTTTGGAAGCGGTACGATTCCTATGAAATTTTAACACCAAGATTAGGATCGCTAATTAGTTGGTTCTTGATATCTGGGAACCCATTCACCTACATCTTCGCTTCCTACAGAAAATGACCATACCTGATGAAACTATTGAATAAATATTCAACAAGTTACGTTAGCCGACATAGTCTGTTGGCCCATGGTAACATACCTACAAAAACTTAACTGATTAAAATGGTCGGAGTATGTTCCTTGTTTGTCCACCCAAGGTCTATCTTGTTTGTTCGCCTTTGTTTCAGCTGTTTAAATTTAATCCTATGGATACCGGCGTAGAAGTCATAAGCATGTCCAACTCAGGACCTCTGTACCGGCTAAAAGCACGGGTGGATGCCATTTCCCACGCATCTCCGTGAATATCAGTGAATCATGTTGTGGTTGTTGTTTGCTCCCCTAAGCAAGTGGTTCTTGAACTCTCGATTTTCTTTGATATTCTCTGCAACATTTATCACACAATCAAACTGTCAAACCCTGTGACTCAATACGAAACAATAAAAGCAATATGCATCCGTGGGCAAACCTTGGCTTATTACTTATATTGAATTCGGCGCTGAGACTTACCTGAACAACACGTTCAACGTTTAGACAGACAAATAAAGAAACGTGCATTGTGTTGCTGTCTGTACTTCTCTAATAACTTTACATATGTTAATTCGCATATCCTTGAATAACAGCCACCACGGTGGAGCTTAACCTGAGTGAGGTAGACAAAAATTACTGTGCACAGAAAGAAGGCATAAATCGCGATTTGCCAACATTTCGATTGCTTTCTTCAGTCGCGAACGTAATGCATTTAGGAATCAAAGGTATGGGAATGGGTAAAACCCAAAATGTTGCAAGACTGCAAATGCCGCACCTGAACCAACAACGACGAAACGAGGTCGCATAATCATATATCATTAACCTATCAGAAACGACAGTCAGACTCCTAAAGCTGCACCACCAGATGTTAGCCTCCATCCCTACTGCCACTCTGGAGGAAACCCTGTCTAGACCGAGAAGGGAACGAAAGCATGAGAATGATGGAACGTAGTCAACAGAATACAGTGTCAAAATTGCGGGTGACACCATATGAACTTATGAGATATGAAATTAGCAACAAGATTGCAAATGCATAAATGAGTCTAATAACAACATTAGGAATCAGCACTAGTATTTTCGAACATTGATGAAAAGGGACACACATTTAACTAATAAAAAGGGAGGTTCCAGCATGTAGGAAGACAGGGATAGGAAGAGAATTTCCGGAAACGTGGTTATTTGTAAAGAGTTCAGTAAAGGCAGCAAATAGACAAGGCCCCGATATACTAACAAATGGGAAAGAAAGAAACTGAACGGATGTGTCAGCTGTAGGCCGTAACGGCGCTTTGCTGCCGCGCGACCACCACTAGTCGGGCGCGGGCAGAGTATACCGCGAGGACCCGCACCCCTACGCGGATTCGAACCGGTGACCTTATGGTTGCAAAGCAAACGTGCAGACCATTCGGCCACCGGCCGACAACTGAACGGATAAGGAACCATGACATGATTCAAAAAGCAGCAACAACCGAACAAACAACGAGCAATAGCTATGGGATGTTAATCAAATTATTCAAGTTCAGACGACACTTGCACATCGATCAAGGGCCGAAGACACATCTAGCAGTATCGCCCACTATGCAGTGGAACGTGGACAAAACCAATTTTGCTGGTGATGAAACACGTAGGACGAAACCGTCCAGGTCGGAGAACAAACCAAAACTTGACCAACCCTATCTACTGGTATACTGATTTATTGCAAGTATCATGTGTGCTCTACACGCGTGTATTAGTCAGTTACTATCCCTGTACCTTGAATAAGCATACGCTGGTCTAAGTAACGGTATATATTTGCTGACCACAAAAATGCGCATGCCCGAGGCATGGTGGGTGCACTAATATGTTAAAGAGAAGAGTGAACGTTGTCAGAAGTAATTTTGGTCAACCAGTCTGCCAGCACAACTTTTATGAGAAACAGCAAGAAATTGTTGAAACATGGCGATCTGAAAGAAAAACACAGTGCTCTGTAATGTATAGTATGTATGTATAGTATGTAAAATAAATATGATGATGTAAATCGATGCTTGTGTACTATCCGTCAAAATCGATCGCACCGGCCGTTGTTGCGACTACTTCATTTTCTTCCGGACGTTCACCGCATTCATTACCCATTCCATTCCTTCCTGATAAAACAAATGCACGTGAGCACAAAATAATGCACCGAGATAAACATGCGATAAAACCTAAATTCACCAACATTAAACCTATAGTGAGAACCTAAAGCATAACAATCGGGCAACAAGCGAGCAAGTAGCTCATAACAGGATATCAGTCTAATCAACCGCTTTCTATCTTGGTTCTCATTCCATCTCAATGGCAGAAAACAGGCAGTCAAGAATGACAGTCATATTTGCCATCGTAGCTTCGCAATGCTCTGAGTCATTCCAGTAGTCATGGTGGGCATCAACAATGCCTTGCTGCTTTTGAATACGGTGACATTAAATTATGTCCATTTTCCATAATCCATAACAGAGGAAACCTTTTTTTAATATATATGCTCAGCTAAATGCTTTTGAATCGTGATGTTTACGTCAAAAAGGTGACCACTGATTTATAAAAGCACTCTTATTTGATACAGCTATGAGATTCAAAATAGGTCACCGACCTACGTGTGGTAATAAGGTCCCAGATTTAGAAGTGCACAAATTCAATGGTTTGAAATTCGCAGTACACGTACCGTGCGCATTGCTAAGGTTATGGAAGCAAGACATATAAATTTCCCATACATGCGCTAACGCACGTCAACGTGTTACATTAGCGCTGAGAGGTGACCAACGAACATTCACTATAGAATGATTATGGGTTCCACCTAAATACCGGCCGGCCCGTAGCCTAAAGGTAACGAGTTTGCCTTGTAATCTGATGGCGCGGGTTCGAGCTTATATAGGGGCAGGGCAACCCTCGCAGCATCCTTAGCCCACGTGCGACCGGTGGTGGTTGCGCGGCAGCGAAGCGTCGATACTGCGTAGTGACGTAATGCTGATACCGTGCATTCCCGCATGCGGCGGGTGATCAACAAATTTCGCAAGGTATCAGAAGCGACTGAGATATTCAACCTAAATTAACTGGCGCTAAAATCCTGCTAGAAAAATCAGAGTGGTATGTCGCGTGCATTCGAAACTGATGAAAATGACCAGAAACGGATGAGTTGAACGACCTACACATTGGTACTTCACTCGTCCATCTTCGGCTTCACCTCCACATTTCAGTCAAATCTGCCAGTTACGTCTATCATATTGGAAGATTAGATAACGCGTTCCTGGTGTTTACCTCCTCAAATCAACCTGACCCTCAATATTGTGCATTTGTTTTATCCGGCTTCTTTAGTTGGGACACGTTATCACAAACATCGATTCATCGGCAGACCGGTTTTTCCCGTCAACTCAGTGAATTATAACTTATTTTGTACACGAATATCCAAGTTTAACTTCACTTCCAACGATCTCCGCTTTTACTGGTAAACTCTTTACCATAGCTGCCTTGCATTTCATTAAGAGCGAGTTCTTTCATTTGATTGCCAAGTTAACTGCATCCATTAATTTACGGATCATTATTCGGTCAGAGATGTTGACTCAGCTGTCAGTGTCAGTTGGCGGAATCTGCCGAGTGAAGCGCATTGATCATGGAATTATATTTACTCAAAAGTTAGCAAACTGCTGTGATCATTATGAACATATGCTGTACCTTGTGCGCGATGCCTGACTGTTGAAGCAGGTGTCGCATTGTCAGGGGGACATAACAGCCATGCATTTATTTACTCATCGATTTCAACCCATCGATTTCAACTACTCTTTTTTGAAGTCTTCAATGCCTGCAAGGATTTGAGTGGAGCCAATGCATGAAATGAGCAACTTCTTTCATGAATTCACTCTCATCGCTCATCACTTCACTACAACTGTCGCGCCCTTCTAAGCGCAGGACAATCAGTAACATTCTAACATTCTGCAAAAACACAGTATGTGATATCATACTCGTGCACAGATATCAACTAAATATGGTTCATTCGATATTCTATGCCAATTTGCACAAAGAGTGGGCTATTCGACTCGTTGTAAGATATATATTCATTCACTGGAACTAAGATAAGTGCTTGTACTTCTTGTGTAGCTGGACAGGCTATTCTACACAGAAACATGTGGGAATATCACGGAAGTTGTCTTCACTAGCCTCGTTACGATTAAGAATAAATTATCAACAAACCCGCTACATTGAGCTTGCGGTCAGGTTAAAACTATGACGTAGCGCTACTTGATAATTGTAACAACGGTTCAGTACGTACAAAGGCTGTTACGTTTTATGTGCAAAATCATAAAGCAAAATATAAGGGCTTCAAAGGCCGCTTTCGACAGATTGTCAGAAGTCACATATGCAAGCACATGCCTCCATGATGATGTGAGTGGATGTGAGTGGAAAGAACTGGCCCAAATACTGATTAGTTGTCGTCGCCTCCTTGCTATTGATAAACAATTTAAGGCGCAAGCTTCTAAGAGTAGATTTTCATAAATATGTCACCTGCACACTGATTGCGCAATCAATGATATTCAAATGAGCAATACAAATAGGATCGTCTCGCGAGATTACTAGGTGAGCGTACCGCGTTAACAATTGCAAAACTGAATTCTTCAGTTTAGTGTTGTAGATTCAGAAGAGGATGAAGATGATGACACATCTTTTCAAACGTATGCAAATTCCTATCGAGTCAATGTATAAGCGTCAAGAAATCCCGCTACACACCTACTTGGTTATTAGTGTAATCTTTAACGGAAAACGTTTCGTAGCTTTGCAGACATTCGTTAGCGCGTAGTTTCCAGCACAGTGACATCACATCTAGGTGGCCTACCATCCGAATGCTCTATTATATAATATAGACAAACATAGGTTCCAAGTATCCATAAAAAGCTCATATCATCAAATATCCCGAGTGTAAACCACAGTGGACCAACAACTGGTAGTCTATGCTTTACGTTTTATCGGATGAACTTCTTGACATCTGAAATCGTTCCACGGAATACCTCAGCATGGAAGCACTCTGATAGTCTCTATAACAGCATAATTTGCTCCAGAAGCAATCGAATACATAATTGGAAAGACATGAACATATAAAATTACCGTTCTTTCAGCATAAACAAAAGCAAACTATGCACCTGCCCCATCGAACTATTTTATGGACACCTCGCTTGTTATCTGCCTTTAAAACCAATTGTTAACTAAGATCATGGTCATCATTAATAACAGTACCTCAGCCTTTTGAACTGCTACTTCAGAGTAGCAAAGTCACGATGACCAACGAAACAAAGAATAATATTGGGGAGAGAAGGGAGACTTAGCACAAAACCTTAAAGCCACCAGCAAACATTCAAGGCTATGGCATCTACTCTTTGTCAAAACATATTGTCACAAACAGCTAGCTATCGTGCAATGATAAGGCGGCATCAGCGAGAGTTATTCCATGCAGATTTCACTGCCCAATGCCATAGTCAACCGTTACCCAACAGATAACTCAGCACCAAACACACTGTAAACAGGTAGTTCGGCTAGGAGACGATAACGGACACACCATTGGTGCGGACTGCAAGCCATGTCATGTAGCATCTGGATCCAAACACAAAGTGGGTCGCATGGACTCCAGTCTGGAAAGCGAGATGGACCACTAGCCCCGGACTATAATAATAAAGCAGAAACGACAGCAGTACTACGCCGGTTTCCAGAACGTAAGCTTCGCTGCTACGGGGCTGCCACCCGTAGCGTGCGAGCTAAGGATACTGACAGGTCATCGGCGCCAAAGCAGTTACGAATCGGAGTTTCTAGGGTTACAAGACAGATGCTTCATTCTTCGTAAAACGAGGCGACGACAACAAAAATTGCAGTCAGTCGTACTCACAACTCCATTACTTAACAACGAGCAGACGTGGTTATTTCAATAGGAATAATGGCGCCACACGCTCCATTAGAGTAAGCTTAGATATGGGGCTTTGGACTTGCATACAAATATCTCTGATGAAAGCATAAATCAATTCATCCAGAACAAGAAATCCGATTCCGTAACCATGAGCCGGAACGAAACAGATATATATACATATATATATATATGTATATATATATATATATGTTCATTAGCTGGATACCGATAAAAGAACCGACAGAACCTTGATGAGAATGGAAGGAACACAAGCCCGGTTAAGCAAGCAACAACAGAGGTAGTTCATAGAAAAGCCGTTCCTATTGTGATTCACGCATTTCGTTTTGCGTTTTCGACCGTAACCTTTTAATTTTGAAAGCCGAGAAAGAAGGTAAATCATTGATGGCGCTACGTATTCCCATCACAATTTATAGTTTTCAGAACCTCTAATCACTGGCATTCCGATTTGCCTAGTTCCTTGCATGAAACAACAGTAGACTCGATGATACCGTATTCCAAATATAGCCTTCTTCATGTGCTTTCCTTAAGTCGTTGGTTGTTAACTAGAAATCAACCAATCGCATCAAAAAAGGACTACAAATGCATGACGCGAAAGGAGCTGGTCGGATACGTAGGTAGTGTGGCCAAACCAAAACATCCGGTGTCTGCGATATCCTTTTCGTTTTAGAGACCGTCGGTAACGGTTACTCGATTTTGAGATTTCGTGTGGCTTTCGTTGTGCTACTAACAGTATTATAAATTCCCCAGTATTTATTCTGTGTCTTACCGTCTTACAACATGACTGCACGGACGGAGACTTTGCGTGCCCTGCCATTGTGCTTCGGAATTACCTCGCTATGACCTCAGACGTGTGGATTAAAATCCAAAGCGCGTTTTATCCATTAGCTAAGAGATTACATCTTTCAAGCCGCCACCAGCTGTGATTTAGTGTCCTAATTTAGTAAGGCTGCAAACATGCTCTGTTTATGGAGTGCAAAGGTGGGCGCATACACATGTGTCTACCAATCTTCAGCTAAAACTCCATAGTTAGACGGGCTAAAACACGGTCCGAGTTGATATAATTTTACCACTAGGCAATTCAAAATACGTTTGGCTGCATGTGGATGGTCCCTGTAGTACAGCAGTGTCCTCCGCATAAGCGATACCTACGACTCAGTTGCGAAGGAGAAGCTCAATGTCACGGCTCATGATGCTTTCCGGTAA